GCTTAGACCAGGTTCTGGGTCCAGTAGAACCCGGCCTCTCAGGGCTACAGCGACCCGCTTAGACCAGGTTCTGGGTCCAGTAGAACCCGGCCTCTCAGGGCTACAGCGACCCACTTAGACCAGGTTCTGGGTCTTTGCATTAAATCAGAACCCAGATATGTATTCAGATTGGATCGGAACCAGGCTGGATGGTTTGGTTCTGAGCTTCGGTAGAACCAGAGGAACCCAGTACTGGTCCAAAGAAAGCCAGTTGAACGTGGTTCTGTTTTTCCAGATGATTCCTCTGGATTCTTTCGTGGGGCAGAGCGCAGACGGGAAGATGGTTCCCATCATTCCGGGAGGAACCAGCATCCCGCTCACGTTCTCCAACAGGAAGGAGTATGTGGAGCGAGCCATCGAGTACCGGCTGCACGAGATCGACCGACAGGTAAACCGACCTAGAAGCCACAGCCGGTTGGATTCTGGCCCAGACTCTAACCGGGTCTGGACCTTGGCTCTCCTGCAGGTGGCGGCGGTCCGTGAGGGAATGTCGTGGATCGTTCCGGTGCCGCTGCTGTCCCTCCTCACGGCCAAGCAGCTGGAGCAGATGGTGTGCGGCATGCCGGAGATCTGCTGCGACGTTCTGAAGAAGGTGGTCCGGTACCGGGAGGTGGACGAGCAGCACTCGCTGGTCCAGTGGTTCTGGCAGACGCTGGAGGAGTTCTCCAACGAGGAGCGGGTGCTCTTCATGCGCTTCGTGTCCGGGCGCTCCAGGCTTCCCGCCAACACGGCCGACATCTCCCAGAGGTTCCAGATCATGAGGGTGGACCGGGTGAGTGAACAGAACCGGGTCGGAGTATCAGAGCTGCTGCTTTTCTGCTGGTTGTGATCTGACCTGTTCCCCCTCCCCCCCCACCAGCCCTACGACAGCCTCCCCACCTCCCAGACCTGCTTCTTCCAGCTCCGCCTACCGCCGTACTCCAGCCAGGCTGTCATGGCCGAGCGGCTGCGCTACGCCATCAACAACTGCCGCTCCATCGACATGGACAACTACATGCTGTCCCGTAACGTGGACAATGCCGAAGGCTCCGACACGGACTACTGACCTGCGTCTGCGCCGCGCCTGCCATGGCGAACTCTTTTACATCCCTTTGAACCTTCATTTCTCTCTGTGGTTCATTTGTTTTTATTGTGAAAATCCACAGGAAGTGCATCGCATTTTGTTTCCTTCCACAGAGCCGCGTTGGGACGCTGTACAGGACATCTGAGAGCAGCAGCGCTCAAGTTGTACATTGTGTAAAATGCTTCGTTAGGAACATGTTTGGCATTGTTTCCATATTTATTGTTTTGGTTGGCCGCAGCAAGTTTCCCAAAGCAAACAAACAAAAAAAAAAAACAATAAAGATGCTGCAGAACTGATCTGTGATCTGTTTGAAACAAAGATGCTGCAGAGAAGCGGCGCCGGTTTGTCCATCGACCCGGTTCATCTTGCGTCTAACGGTGCGTTTAGGTGGAGCTGCTTTAACCAGCAGCCTGCAGGATAGAAAACCAACTGAAAGATTGAGTTCTGGAAAGTTAGAAAGTCAAATATTAAACAGGTTACTATGTAAACTGACGTCTATGTCCAGAACTTGGGAATAGAAACGGATTCAGCTAAACGTTGGAACGAATGGTACGGAATGCTCTACAGAGACCCAGACAGGTGGAATGTAGCCGCTAGCTTTCCTTGGTTTGACACACCCACATTCAGAACAACGGGTCGAGTCAGAACTGTAGCCTTACTCAGGTGAGAAATTCCTTCCCAACACTGAAGGATGATGGAGTTAGGATGGATTGAATAACGACCTGATTGGAGGAGTCGTACGTAGCATGGTGGTGGCAGCATCATGCTGTAGGTTAAAGAACGTCAAATCTTGATTAAGACAAGATTTGAGCCATGCTGAGCCATGCAGCCTCAATCTGCGGATCAGACGAGAGCAGAGTGAGTGAAGGTCAGAGCAGAACAAACACCAGAGGCTGCAGACTTGCTCAGGGACTAATTTGGAAACCTATCAAAGGATTTGAAGGGAACCGTTACCAAAGGTGCGCCTCATGCCAAGAAACCATTCCAATTTGGTACTGATCTGGATCATGAGCCAGTTTAGCTAAAGGTGTGAAATAGATGCTTTTCAAGATGCTTATAAGAAGTTTTTGTTTTTAACGTCCACATTTGCTTCCACTGGGAATCAGGGACAAAGTTCTTCCAGTAGAAACAACTGGAGAGAAACTAATTATAATAACTATTTTATTTTTACAGGATGAAGAAAAACAAGGTATCAGCTACATGTAACAAAGATTAACTGTCAACAAAAACACTGAAGAGTTTACACATTTCTGACATTGGTAACCATGACAACACTGACCAGACACACCTGGCTTAATGAGTCAGTCCATTATTGAGAGACGGGAAACAGGAGTTGGGTGTGGAATCCAGTGAGGAAAGCTCTAATCCTTTCTTGTTTATCTAATTCATGGTTTTGGGGGAACTCTGGGGGTTCTCAGATACAAATACTGAATCAAAACAATCATCCTTATTAAATTCAGAAACTGATTACTAACTTTCAGAGATTGAAATTCTTATTTTTTCCTGTTTTCAATGAGGGCGGCTGCCTGCTTGGAAACTCACTCAGCCCTGGCCAGCCTTTTATTATTAGAGCCAAATTTCTGGGGTTTATTTTATGTTATACCTGAATGTCCCAGTGGGTGGCGCTGTATGGATAACTTGGTTTGCAGGTAACCTTTTAGCAGGTGTGCTAACTGCTGGAAACATCAGCTACAGTTTAATCAGGGTAAGTATGCAAGACCAATAAATGCTCTACAATCAATAGTTTTCATTAATTGGATCCAGGACAGGGGGGAGCTTCAGGGCAGCAGTTCCTCTATGGTGTAGGTTCATGTTTTTTTTGGTTTTCTTCAATCAAGAACAAGTGTTAACATAAAGTTAATAACTTTGCTTCCTCAAAGTTGTGGCGAGGAGCTGCTGGACCCAAAGCTGGGCTGCGTGGAGGATGTCTGTGCTCCTAAAAGGCAGCATTGATGGAGGAAACGATCAGCTGATTCAACTGGAGGAGTTGCATCATGTATGGTGACCAACCCATTTCATTATATTTCCAAAGATCCAGACTTATCAACGTGAGCAAACTGTACTGGACATGAGGCTGAAACATGGATTCTTATTCCTTTAATTCCTTAAGTCTTTTTTTAAAGAATACTAATAACGAATCTTGGTGTTGTTTTTGAT